GCGCAAGTCTACCGCAAACCTAGCGCCCGGCTTCAGAATAGGTGTGTTTAGCTGGGGGCCCGCTACATAATCTAATTGAAAAAACAACATCGTAAGCTACTTTCGACCCCTGTATCTAGTGTTTTTGATTGTAGACTTTTGGCCGAATATATCTTTATATAGAGAGGTTGCTGCTCTTGGTGCACACTACCGAAGAATAGTAATAAAAAGAGAATTACCAAGGGCTGAACTTTCACCCCAGTCAATATGTGTTTTGCAAGGAAGGCAAACTGAGGAAATGCAAAGTTTTGCAAAGAAACCATTCACAATTGCAAAAGCCGGCCTCGCTGCACCACCTGCCAAGGGCCCACACCACCAAAATCAAGTCCAATTCCTTGATTTTTCTGGAGATTCTTTGGATCCTAATGATGACTCTTTATATTACAGTATCTATAATAACCATCCCCCCTATCTCAGGAGGCTCAGTCTTGGCAATCAGCACCCCGCTCCCCATGTCACCTACGGCCACACCTCCGGCTCCGCTCCGCCCCCGCGAGAGGTCGATGGAGCTCGAGGAGACGCTGTCCTGACCGTGGAATTGTGTGGGGACTGGAAAACGTCTTGAAACCTTAGGCTTCCAGTGAATAGCAGGACTTTCTATGTGACAAATCTAGAGGTGGTCTTTTCTGGGTGCAACTGGGGAGTTGACTCTTGGCTGTAAGACTTGGTGTGACACTTGAGGATGCTGTATATCACCAGCGTGTAGGTTTTTACTGCAGTTGGCCCCACATTGCAGCGAATAATGAGTTCAGACATATATTGCTGGGGAAAACGCCAACGTTCAAAAAAGCAAGCTGGAAGAATACAAGTGAGCAAATGGATCTGCCTCTTGTAACGACCTTCGGTCTCCCCAACTCCTCGTCAAAAGACAGTTCGTGGTCAGACGGCATGAAGGATCGCCGTGCCATTGCTGATCCCGTGGGTGCCGCGGAAAAGTCCACAGCACCAATCGCGGTGGCCAGCTGTGTGTCTTGTGGTTTTGGGGATCCGACTGTCTGAGGCTTTTAATGGTAGTAACAAGAAGCTATTAGGAAGTGGGGCACTTCCGAATGGATCCGGAGCCGCACGGCGAACGGGGTGCAATTTGAGGTGGGTCCCATGGGGGCACTCAAACGCCGTAAGAAGCCTTGCGTTCATTCGGCCACCAAGCCATTGCACTTCACCATATCACCACATTGTGCTTCACCACCGGCAAAATCACCACATCACAGGCCACCCCACACTACATCACCCCATCACAGAACTCCTCACATTCTATTGGTTTACCTCTTGGGGGGGGGGCATTTGCAACTGGAGATGGGTGAGTGGCCGCAGATTTCATGAAGATACTGTATGTTGTCTGACGTGCCCTCTTCGGAAATCATGTGCTTGTGGCAATGGCACTCACCCACATCAAAACTTCAGTGCAATTCATTATGTGTATTTATCTGCAGGTGTCGTCAGCAGCTGCTCATGAGATTTATATTCGCTGTATACTTTGGCTCAACTGACCCGCACACGGAGAGGCCTTGGAAGAAGGCAAGGCACATGTATTGACAGATTATCCTGACAAGCGCTGCCTGACCGATGCGCTGACGTTTGTTCTGGCATCAAGCCTAGTATGCATTACGTTGGTTCTGACACATCATCTAGCATGGAAGGTTGGCAAAGGCCGTCAAGTCTCACATGTCTTCTGATTCTAACATGTGCCCCTGGCATCAAATCTGGCATGTGTTCTGAGATGTGTTGAGATTCTGTTATGACATGTGTTCTGTCTGCCCGTTGTTCGGCCTATGTGTTCTGCCACCTATTCTTGACATTTGTTCTGGCGTGTCTGACAAGTGTCCTCACATGCGTTCGATGTATCCTGGCACCTGTTCTGACATTTGGCATCCCAGAATTGGCTCAGCTCCGTTCCAACAGCCCAAATCGCCGAGACCGCCCAAGTGCCGGAACCGGTCAACGTCCGGAAGGACGGAAGGCAAGGCGGGCGCTGGGAACATCAAATCTAGAGGCATTCACCTGACGGGTGGGGAGACCTCACACCTTGCAGGTGTGATAGCAATCATGCACTCATATATAGCGCCCTGAACCAAAACTTCACGAGTGGTGAGGTCGACAAACTGTTAATTGTGAGGGCTCTGGCATCGGAAACAAACAAATCACCACATTCACCACCTCATCGCACGTATGTCATGAAAACCATAATTACAAAAAACTGACCGCTCACCCTATAGAAGCATGCAGTGGCTTCCTTGCAGCACAAAACAAACTCACACATCACATCACATCACAAACGCGTCACATCAAATTGATCGCAACACCGCAACCGCAACGTGTCAAATCATGACTTTAACTTTGCACTTCATCTTCAACGGCCTTCCTATGGGTAACGAGATCAACATTGGCAGAAATTTCCCCTTGAATGTGGACAGTACCTGGTACGGCCATGCTGCAGAACTCGGCTTTAAGATCACAACCATTGACAGTAACAAGGCTTGCAAGGCCCACCATGTCGGATGTCGCCTTCAATGAATTTATGAATTTAATGCAGCTCAAGCCAAATAGCCACGATCCGGCAAGGCAACTCAATCTTCTACGTAATTCTTATACGTGAGAAATAAGTTCGCCGTTTCAGCAGGCCCTTTGGGGAACAAGTTTGTTCATTACTAGTAGCAATTTCGATGTAAACTGCACACAGGAGAGGGTGCAACAAAACGAACGCCTCTCTTTGGAAACATATTTGCTACCAGTACCATCACATGGCACAACAATGACAATATCATTCTGTTGCCACTTCAGGCTGCACTCTACAGCCAAGCTGTTTTATGGCCATTTTGAGCACAAGTTTGTTCACGGCTGATGTCCTGTTTGATTCATGTATGAATGACATTGCGGAGCACGGGGTGTTTCGCCTCTCTCTCTCTCTCACCTTTGACCCACATTCTGCTGCTTGCTTTTTCGGGCCATCCATTGAAAACACCGCGGTGCAAAATTTCCGGTGTTGGGTCAAAGTAGCAAAACAGCCAGTTGCTTTCATTTGATGCAACACCGGAAGCTTTGCCGTTTGTGGCGTTCGCTGCAGGGACTGCCAAAGAAGCGCAATGTTCAAGCTCAACTTCTTCACCATCCAACCACATACAAGGCACACCGTTTCGACGTACCGAAAAAGGCCCAAGATCGCGAGCAACCCTGAGGCAACTGCCAGGACGATTTGAGGATCGTGGCAAGGGCTGCAGGTAGAATCGAATTGAAGGCTAAGAGCGCTGTCAGCGGCGAGTAAGACATTTACGATCTCAGCATTGTTTCACCGTAGGTTCTGCTCGAGCGGTGTCAAAGACGCAACTTGCTTATGTTCCAGCTGATTTCAATACCGAATCCTCCATCATGACTTGAAAGCGACCAAGGGTTTCTTCTGCTGTCTCAGCATAATTCGAACTCATATCTCTTGTGCCCATCGCACGCAATCAAAACTTGCAGGTGGTTGCCTCCAATGCCAGGCCTGTCTTCGGCAAACCTCCGCAAGCATCTGCGTCCAACACAGCATGCTGCAGCATATGGATGCTTAAGCAAATCCGCGACAGTGAAACCGGGGTGTTGACTTGGCCAAGTGCAGTGAAACTCACCAGTTGCAAAACAAGTCTGGGTCCAGGGATCCAGCCCAAACAAAGCGCGACAAGACAGGAGAGGCACGCATGTCACCAATTGTCACCAACTTCAACTGACTTCAACCTTAATATGTCCGGTCCAGAGACTGTCTCAGTTTGGATGCGTTCAAGCTCAACTCCAGTGGTTGGGCTGGACACATTAAGCTCGACATGGGCTCTATATACAGCATCGGGTCTCTGTCAAAATCTTCCCATTGGCCACACATGCCTCCTCTGCATCCGCCACAGGCTGCTGCAGCCACTTTTGGGATGTTGACACTCGGGTAACCAAGGAAGTTGGCTTTGCGGGCCAGCTTTGCGAAATCCAACACTTTCGGCCTTCTGCACGGCAGACAGGGGCGGAACTGAATCATCTGGTCTAATGGCAGGTATATAGATGCACTCATCCTGCTGACGGAACATGTGAACATGATTAGGCTGGAATGTGTTCCGATATGAGATGAAATCCGTGTGCCTGCATTCAACCTTCAGCTCTTCAGCTGTCAAGCATGACCATATGACCTTGCAAGCCTTGAACCATTGTATTGCCTGGCAGTCGGCACGGCCACATTTTAACCACAGCTTGAAATCAAGCTAGGAGATGCTAGGAGTACGGCCCTGGATGACCGTGTGCATCTTGTTTTCTACAGAATGTCTGCCTCGTGCGTGCTTTTGCGCCCACTGGCATTCATACCTTATCTGACTTTCATCCCCTTCGAAGTTAAACGGACAAGTCAGCCAAACGTCAACCCAATCCATCAACTCCTTTTGAATGGTCCTCTCACGGCCAGCTGCGCTTGCAAGGGCCTTGCAGGGGTTAGCTGTCCAAATGCTGCCTAAAGCCCGGTCATTGGTCGTAGGGTTGCCGCTTGTGTCATCATAGCTTGTTCAGAGACAGTTTCAATGTCCTGTGGGGAAGCCTGGCTATATGGCTTGAGGGGCAGAAAAAGGAATCCAGAGTCTAGGCAGGTCCACGGGCTTTAGGTTGGAGGCCATCGCTATCAGAAACAAACCTTCGGGCCATACCGAAATCAGGACTCTTCCGACTCTTCCCGTCAACTCCAACGACCTCCAATGGGGGGAAGACACGTTGAGAAGCCTACGGTTTGGAGCCAATCTTAGTCTCAGGCCTTGTTTTCGCGTACACTGCACCACTGCTACGCCCGAGTTGCTTGCCGCAACACTCAAAAACATTAGAAATCTTAGGAGCTAGACTCAACACTGCCATTTGATAACTAAATAAATGACCTTTTGCAAGCGATCGGAGCACTCTGGGCGGCTTGCGTGCAACTCTGCGTGCTTCATTGCTGGGTCTCGAAGGTCGGGTGAGGAACCTCAAAGGCAATATTCCGGTTTGGCTGGAAATGTGCAGCCCCAATGCTGCATCACTGTGGCAGCTGCATAGCTGCCAGCCTGGGCCAACAGCAAATAAAAAGACAATACACACGCATATGTATATATATATATATAGTGTGATACACTTCCCCCAAAAACAAAATAATCTGTCAAAATAAAAAATGATTTCTTGCATTGCATGAGGGAAGCATGTGAACGCTCCAAATTGTCCAGCGGCATGAGGAAATACTCTACACTCTGCTACACTGATGCCTGGTCGGACTCGCGCCTGGCAACATGCAGCGATGGAATGCTTCCGTGCCATCGCTGCCAAGAAGCCGCCCACGAAGGCGTCCCCGGCACCATAGCTGTCCACAATCCTCGGAAGCACCAACATGTGGCACCCGTGACAGGAGATCTTGAAAAAGTGAGGGCATGTGAGGCCTTGGTAGGAGGATTGGGCCCATTAGGCCAGAACCCTCAAGTCTGAGCCATGCATCTCTGAGGTGACTAGGGGTGGTTTCCTTGCCGTCCTCTCAGCCGTTAGAGTGCACTTGCTGTGTCACTGTGTCCTGTGCTACGTGCATCCCCAGCAACAAAAACAAAGCATTGCAAAACCCACAGCCACCAGGTGACTGCTCTTCGGACAGCGGGACCACCTCATGCCGCGAGATCACACCGCGCACGGCCACCACGATGGGCTCGGCACCTGAGAAATGGGCGGAGCAGGGTGTGGCCCTCACCCGTCCCCACCCAGCCTTGAGTGATCACGACTTGGCGTGGCGGCTTGGTGGCCATGGGCACCAAGGACCTGAGTTCTTTTTCCGCCTGAATTCGGTAGCTCCCCGGATGGGGCCTCTGACTGAATCTGTGTGAACATTGAGGCCGTAGGTGATGTCATGATGCGATAGAAATGAATCATCCCACCATCTCCCAGGTGTCAAGGTGCACCAATGAACAAACAACCTTCTGCCACGTCACAAACGGGTCGCTATGAAGTCCACGTCTTGCGTCTCCCAGCCGGCTGCTTCAGCATAGGCTCTCGCTTCCTTGTCATGTGTTTGCGCCAAGAATGGGGTGGATCAATTGTTCAATGCGTGGCCATGATGACTGTATATATATATATATATTATATATCAGTCAGCAGCAACGTCAATGAAAAGACTAGGATTCAGCATCAGGTCCAAGCCAGGCATCTGTCTGATTGCCAAACAGAACGTCACAGTAGGGCAGCGCTTTTTCCAACACAGCCCTATGGCTGGGCATTTGGACGAGTGCTAAGTTGAGGCAGTAGGTGCTCTTGCTCATCTCAGTGACCTCCCGGACAGCACGGCTCCCGTCGACGGCTCGACAGCTCAGGTTCGGCGCCTTCGAGGCCAGCTCCACGGACTCGACGGAGACGGGGAGAAGAGAACCAGAACAGTAGACCTGATGTGTGGTTTTTCAGCTTGGTTTGGAAATGTAAAACAGAAATGTATAACAGGGACTCCTCCCAAACATCATGACAAATCATTCCAAGAAAGGCATGCCATCAGCAAAGCCCGCTATGCAGTCCCCACAAACGCCCATTTCTGGAAGACGGGCGACAATTTTGGCAGACTTCAAAAGATTGAAGTTCCTCGGCTTGAATGCGGAGCCGCATGGAAGCATGCCCTTCCGCACCGCGGTCCGCACCACAGCTCCATGATTCTCATGACCCAAATGCAAACCAGTGGCTCTGGCTCCTTCAAATGACTCACCTTGTAGTGCTCATGGGCTCCAGGCCGGGCCACAGACGTTCGCTTCTTGTCCACAATGGCCACTGCACAAGTGCTGGTGCGAGCTGGATCGACCATGTACCTGCCCCCACTGTGGTCGATGGACAGAAATGACACTGAGCAGTACCAATACCAAATGGTTTCTCTAGGACTCTAAGACCAATGTCATGGCAACAATAGAACAGCCGCCCTCACACCACCCTCCTCACTCATTTCTAGTTTGACCCCTTTCCAACGATTCAACACCATCCGCAAGATGGTTCTTCTGCATATGCCGTTCTAATTCCTCATCCCGCATCTTTGTGCTTTTCCCCTTTCCTCCGTCCCCCCCTTCTGTCCCGAAGCCCATGACCAGCCTGGTGACCACACCCTCTTGCTGACATACCTCAGTGAGGCGGCGACCATAAGCATCGTCTCCCACGCAGCCGAGGTCCGCAGTCATCTTCGCCTCCTGCGCCAAATTCCGGGCAATGAGCTTTAACATGCTTCAACCACCAAAGAACCAAAAGCCGCACGATTCAAAAACTTGACAAACTGACCTTCAAGATCTGCATGATAGACTATTATAGATTTCCATGCTTAGATTCCAAAGCATGATAGATGATAGATCCACTTCAATCCAAAAGAGCAAATTGGCCCCTGTGGCTAAATCCGACCTGCAGCATCCACTGAGCCACCCGGATCGAGTTTTGTGTGGCTCCACCCGCCACATATTTGGCCTCAAAGGCAAGTGAAAGCCCCAAAACATCCCAAAACTGTATTCACTGATTCACTGTATTCAGGAAGTGCTCTTTCTGCGACCCAATACACAAAATGCACCTGCTCCATCTTCTCCAGTTCCTGCAAAAGTTGGTCGTGCTTCATGTCCTTCTGCTCGTCTCCAGATAGTGCCTCCCCGTGCTGCAAACCATATTTGTCCAGGGTCTCCTGAAAGCCACAAGGCCAGCTGCAAACTCGGCATGCCATACATCAGCGCCAACCCCCAGGAAGATTCTTGGCCTGTGGAACTTTGGCCGTGATTTCCAAGACCGGGTTGCCAATGCTCACGATCACGGGGCTCTCCTGCAAAGCTCAAGTAGGGTAACCGCAGTGAAAAAGAGCTTGGTGGTATTCCTGACAAAGCCAACCCAGAGGTGTCCTGCTGCACTTCTTCCTCCTGGCATGAAGCGTTAGCCCTTCCCCAGGGCAACTCAGGACACTTGACACTCAATGGGAAAGGAAGCCTAAGACGACACTCAACTACAAGCTACCGGTAACACCGCCTCTCTTCCCATCCCTCTCTCTCTCTCTCTGCCTCTGGTGTTCCACCGCCTCTCATCAGCAGCGGCTCCTTGTCATTGGCCTCCGGCTCCTCGAACTGGGTCACCGAAGCCAAAGCCTCGCAAATCTCAGAGTAGCTCCTCAGCGACCAAGGTCAGCATGTTTTGTCGTATTCCCGACACCTGTTCTTCTGACAATTCGTTGACTTGACATCAAGCCAAACAGCAGGGATTTCAATGCCCTGACCCTTAGGTTGGGTTCCTGTCTTAGAACACCACCCCCATGCTGTCCCAGGATCTTGCTGAAAGCTTCATCGAAAGGCCTCAGCGGGGCAATAACAGTTATTTCAATGAATGCATCAATCTAGCGAAACCACAAGTTCGCCCAATGAGGCTTTCAGAATGGCATTCAATGGTCTTACTGAGTCTTCCTGCTGAAGTGCCGAGCTATGCAACATCCAAAGCCCACCAGGCCTCTTCCCGAACTCATTGCAAACGTTGGGATTGGCTTTAGTGGCAACCAGGGCCTTCACCACTTCGAGATGACCATTCAAGGAGGCCTGGAGTTTTGAGTGCCGGTCCACAGAGTGGCGGACAAAACTGTACGTCTTCGATCTTATCATATTAAATCGTAAAGGCACGGCATTTCGTTGAAAAATGAGATGCGAAGACTAAACTCTTGAGCATGGATGCTCCTTAGCTTCTCTCCTGCGGCGGCCGTCATGCCAAACATGCTAAACCTCCTAACAGCCTAACGCGGGAACGAACGCTACAAAGCGAGGCGAATGATAAAATTGCAAAATGACAGGACACTGACACCACGGCGCGTGACAAAACGAAGTACAACATTTCCTGATATTACAAACTAAGGACTACTCTGATTTACCAGTTGACCGAGCTTACATTTGCCCAGACAAGTGTAACAGTGGAACATCTGAGACTAAACCGCGGAGAGCCAGCTGGTGTACACCGACCCACGCCTAAAAGGAAGAACTTGAGGCCAGAGGGGGTGAACGAAAGCTAGCCGGGCTTCCGGTGGTCTGCTGCTGGTGCTGCTGCTGCTGGTGCTGCTGCTGCCGCTGCTGCGCTGGGCGCTGCTGCGCTGTGCTCTGCAGGCGCCGGGTCGTCTGCTGCTGCTGCTGCTGCTGCTGCTGCTGCTGCTGGCGCTGGGTGGTCTGCTGCGGCTGCTGCTGCCGCGGCGTTGGGTATGCTGCTGCTGCTGCTGCCGCCGCTGGGTGGTCTGCTGCTGCTGCTGGTGCTGCTGCTGCTGCTGCCGCTGCTGCGCTGGGCGCTGCAGATGCTTGGTGTGCTGCAGCTGCTTGGTGGTCCCGCTCACCGCGCGCAGGGGGGAGTCGAACCGCAGGGGGGGGGGGAGGGGGGGGGTCCATAAGATTGATTTAATCAATTATTTGAGGTTTCTGAGGTGCGTCCACCCCGTCACTTAACTTGCTAAAGCAAGAGCAACTCCAGCTAGCTAAGGCTAGCTTTCGTGACATTGAAATGCAAATGAATCAAACTTGATGAGCTTCCCATTGATGCATCCCAGGTGCCCAGTGCAGTGGGCAGTTGCCAGCATCATTGGCCAAGTCGGCTGAGGCCCTTGCTTCCAGCAGACAACCTTTGATTCCAAACCGTGCAAATGGATCACCCACTGACATTTCCACACCCCGAGCATGGAGCACCAAGGTCACCAAGCCCAAAAAATCGAAGGTTCCCTTCAGGGCATTCAGTAGAAACAAACCGTCAAGAATTCCGTGGGGAGTGCAAACATCACCACACGCGGAAGACAGAGATTGACGCACGATGCGATGCCCCAACAACGGCCATCTCCAGGTGACGCACGATCTCCAGGTGCCCATTGGCGCTGGCCATAAGAAGTGCCGTGGAGCCCCCCATGGCTTTGACCATTCACCTGGGACACGCAACACTCAAAACTGTGTCAGTCACAAAGGATTTGAAAGGATGATGGATTGTAGGAGACCGAGCACTCACAAGGTTATTGCCTCTAGCATCCTCTGGGCCGCACCTCCACACCAGCCTTCAGTGCTTCCTGGACTGCCTCATCATCGCCATAGCGGGCGTCCAGAACAAACTCCACGACCTGCCGGTCGGGATGCGCCAACAAACCACTGGTGGAACCTGGGACCACCAAATCAAGGGAACGTCATAGCCGCATATCGGTCGCCAAAATCCTGAACTAGCCCACTTCCCCCCCTGCAACTGACTGGCTGACCATCACACCATAGACACCACGAGGGCCTCTTGAGGCGGCTCCATCGGTGTCTTTCGAGCCCAAAACTGCGGTCACACCGAACCGTCCAGGTTCACAGCAGCAATTGGACACGCGGTGCACAGCAGCTTAACGACCCACCTACCCATATACTGAACTACCCCAACCTTGGCTCCGTCTGCGAGGTTTGAGAGGGTTGGATTCTCAAGTGCTCCATCCACTATCATCCACTATCTACCTCCTGCCTTCAGCCGCAGGCTCAGCGAGTCTTCCGCTGCAAACCACAAGGCTGCAAGTCCAGTCACAACTTGGACTTTTCCTCATCGTCGGGTCACCCCGTGCCCTTTAGAGGTTCGAACAATCAACTCACAACTCACTGAGAGGCATTGGCTATGATGTGACTGTGAATTTGAACGATGGAGCTGCCAGGAATGTAGCATAATGTAGCAACATCCATCAAAATCACTGATGTGTGAAGCCTGGAAACGGCAAGGCCAAGCGTCAAAGCCCTGGAAACGGCAGAGCTCTCCAAGAGGCCGTCGCTCTGTGGGCATAGTGCTGAGCTTGGAGCCTGGATCAGCGTATCCCAACGCCACTCCGCACCTGGTGGGATGCACTACGAGGAGTCTGCGGTGCGCGGCAGAAATGCAGAAAGAGATCCAACAGGACTAAAGGGAACATGCATTCATAATGTTCATACATCTTGAGTCCTTGAGTCCTGAAGGGAACTGGCTGAACAGCCAAGCTACCACACCACTTCCCTATCCATCGCAATGTTCAGTGTATCGTAGACGCAGCTGCCCAAGTTGCCCCAGGCTTCGAGCATAGCAGTCGCGAGGCCATATTGCACTGCCAGCAGGGCCAAGCTTTGCAGGAACATGCCCGTGTGGCCCCAAGCATTCTTATCACCCCCACCTGCAGCTAGCACTGCCATTTCCACCAAAACTTTAAACACCAGTGGCACATGCTCGCATTATGTACCTTTTCGCATTACCTTCAGGTTGCATTTCCCCATACAAAAACACACAACTTGCCATCCAGGCACGATCCACCGTCACGACCATGCCCACTGGCGCTCCCCAAAAGCGGAAGTTCTCCACCAACGCCTTGGCGCGGGCCGCCTGGTCTTCACGCTGCACTCCCATGAGATCCCACATGTCCTGCGCCACCTTGATGCGGCGGCTCATGTAGGCCTGGTGCGAGACTATCCGAGCAAACGGAAAGACACCAAATTGTGACACCATGAGACTTTGGGCTGTTGCTCCATTTTTGCCGGGTCCAATCCGGGTCCAAGCTTGATCGCTTGAAAAAAAACATGGAGTGTCCACTGTCGACCTTTGACAAGCTCGGTTGCCGTAGTGAAAATTGTTTTCGTACGCGTCCACCTTGTGAAGGTCGTCCGGAAGATCTCCTTTGCTCGGATACACCTTGTACCTTGGCTCCGCAGTTTTGGGCATCGTAGTCAGGCCAGGAGCCCCTAGTAGCGTCCTTGCTCCTTAGTAGCGATGCCAGGAGCCCCTAGAGTAGCGTCCTTGCTCCTATTACGCCCGGCTCATCTTGACGCACTGGTCTGATCGATGCAAATGATCGCTCCCAAATGGTTCCCTCGATCCAAGGTGCTCCAACGGGCTCATGGTCCCGGAGCCGAAGTGCTTCATCACCGCTTCCGTTAGAGCTTGGAGATGCTTCCCAGTGAGAACCTGAACGTGGCCATGTGACCAGCACACTTAGCCAGGTCAACCCAAGTCGACGGCAAAGGATTCCAACAATCTGATCTTGGGAATCTGTGAACCATGTCAGCTGGAAAGTTCAGAATGGGTTTCAAATCAATTACCAACAAGCATAAACAGGTTTTAAACAAGCCACATAAAGGTGCCACGGCTGCGTGTTCCCCCCGGAGGGTGCCCGATTGGCCGTCTCCAGCAGTCGCTCCAAGAGCTCCACGGAGACCGCGCGCGGCAAGAAGGCACGACAGGTGCATCGCTCACGTAGTGCCTGGAGCAGAGCGAGTCTGTTTTGGGAGGTGAGCACTGGTGAACTCTTGAAGGATATCACATGATACTTGATATCAATGAACTCTTGTTGGGCAGAAGGCATTCTAGTATATAAGGATGTATACGTATTCGGGTATACACACCGTTGACCTACAGTCAAAGTTTTGGAACAAACTCTAGCAGCCTGGTCGTGCCAAGAATGCGGTTGTCGGTTGTCGGGCAATGAGTCTCAGGCTTGAAGCTTGAAAAGACCCCGTGGTTCCATGCCACGTGTTAATTCCATTGGTCTGCGCATCTGCCGCCGTCCAGCATTCTTGCTTGCCGGCCTCGGCGACATCCATGGCTCGGTAGCTTTCCAGGTGTTAAGTGCAATGTGATATTCTCACCAGGGTCAGTAAAGCCATAAAGCCCAATTAGTCGCAACCACCAACTAGCACGCACTGAAGGCACTTTTCATGGTGTTGCATGGCAAATGTTTTGTCCCTGCAGGAGGTGAACCGTTTTTCCATGAGTGACTCTGCATGTTCACAGGGGTCACAGGGGTGTGCTTAGAATTCCAGCATCTTTTTGCTGGAGGCGGGTTTGGTGTGCTGGAAAGCCGCAACGAACTCACTAATCTTCGAGTGCATCCTCTGGAAATGACTGATGATCATGCACGCAAGCACCACAGCACAACTTCAAGCATTTTTGTTCTATTCTGACTTTGAATCCTGCTTGGCAGTTCTCAAGTTCTGGAACGGTTAGCTCTGCTTCGCACGGTCAGAGCAATGCTGCTTCTTGAGTTGATGCTTGAGTACAACCAGAACCATCCAGCAGGTAGGCTGGCCTAAAGCGTCAAAGCCAAAGAGGCACTCTTCCCGTCTGTGAAGTCTTCGGCATGAGCTGCAGGAATAGCAGAGTTGCAAATGTTCTTCAGGCTCTTATGGCAATTCCACATCCTTTCCTTTGCCAAGTAGTCGGGCCACAGGGTGTATCTCGTTGATCGGAGTCTGAAGTCCGCCATGATCGTCTCATTGGTCTCATGGCATTGGTCTGCGCGTGCTATGGTCAGTTCTACATGTTGCCCTTCGGCCTGCACATTGCACCCTATGCCCCTATGCATCTGCAGTCAAGAACTTGAAGCGATGGAGCTGCCCATTGTGTCACTACGGTTTTCCAGAGCCCAGCATCCCACTGATTCCACAGTTTGTGGTCCTGAGTCTGGCCGTCGTGTTGGAAGGGGGATGCTCCAAAACCAACGCTAAAGTCGCTATAGTCAACACTGCTCTTAGGGGACCACGGGTTCAGTTCGTAACCTGTTTAACATCAGCAAACCACGAAGGAACCCAGGAAGGAGAGTGCGGCACAGTGGCGGAACGCCCTGCCGGAGCAGCGAAGGAACCCACGCATGCCTCAGCTAATCGAATGAGGGCACAAGAGCCCTCCATCTCCCATGCGGAGAGGCACAAGAGCATGGGATTTGGTACAAGAATGCGGAAGAGCAAGACCTGAAATCATGAAGAAGGCAAGGTTCTTGCTACCTGCCTCACATTCGGAACCTTTCCATTCAACTCTGGCCTAGACTCAAGCCCACCAAACTCCAGACATTCATTCCCACTCTGTGAGGCAAGTGGCGTACAGACCTCGTCCTGCATCCCTGCGCTGCCACTGGCTAGGTTTGGCACTTTCAAGCATGCTTCCTTCGTCACCGCCCATGACTGGCAATGATCCTCAGCACAGGCCACTTGGTCTAGCCGAGACAAAAGCATTCCAGTCCGGCCACCAAAGAGAATCCTCACCTCACCTCCATCAGAAAGTTCGGAATGAATCAAAGGCAAGGTCATGACCAACCTACTGGGGATAGCTCATCTCATCATGTGACTCCGGCTGCCAGTGACAAAACAGAAAAAAATAGAGGAAAAACATATGTTTTATTTTACATATTGCATTTCTTCTTGTTCACATCACCACTTCCTTTCACATTTCGACGTCCCCCCAACCATCGGCAAGCCACGTCCACCGGGCAGCTCTGCACAAAGGCCGCCACCTGGCCCAGGGCATCAGCACTCGCACGGTCCGCCAGCAGGAAGGCATCCCCCAAGCCGCCACCGATGGAGCCGCAACTGGGGATGGGGAGCAGCCGGACCAGCTTATGGAGGGGTTTTGGCAAGAAGAAAATCAAATGCATCGTAGGGCTCACAAAGTGTTGATCTTGGTCTGCCTTCTTTTCTGTTCAGTGGGCTTGAGAGACGTGGGTCACAAATCCGAGGCAGGAAGAGATCCGGTTTCATGTTTGACACATCGCCACGTGTGAATCTGAATCCAGTAACGCTGTTAGCAGAGCCATGGTGCGGTATGCAAAGATTCCTTTTTAGACGGGAAGCGCTTGGGCTTTGGAAAGTTGATCCGGGTGGTATCGTTCTGTCTGTCTGTCTGTCTGTCTGTCTTCCTTCCTTCCTTCCTTCCTTGCTTTCTTTCTTTCTTTCTTTCTTTCTTTCTTTCTCTCTCTCTCTCTCTCTCTCTTTCTTTTTATATATTTCTTTCTTTCTCGTTCTTTCCCTTTCTTTCTCTCTCTCTCTCTCTCTCTCTTTCTTTCTCTCTTTCTGGCTGCGATAAAGCACCAAGCCGACGACCTTCCCAGGTGGTCCAACTGAGGCCACGACATGTTGGGAACGGAAGCGTTCACTGGTGCTCTGGCAGCGTCCAATCCTCAATACATCTGCAAGCGGCTTGGGAACAAAGTGGGCCATTGGCTCAAGTGTCAGGCAACAGCTCTCTCTCTCTCTCTCCCTCTCTCTCGCTCTCTCTCTCTCTCTCTCTCTCTCGGCATGGCGAAAACGCAGCCAAAGGCGACAGCTGTTGCAGGATGAATGTCACTCTCTCAGGCTGCTGCTGCTCTTGAGAAGCCGCCCCAAGGAGCTTGCGTACGTGACGTCAGGGCGAATCCTGCAGATTCTATGTTGGCCACCCCTATGTTCGACCGCTTCTCCCCAAGGCAGAGAAAACCATATCAATCTGGCCTCACCACAAGGGCGAAGTGCATATCGAATTCATCCTCATAGGCCCTCATGAGCTGCAGTGCGGCCTTGATCTTCATGTACTGCAAGGGCAAAGCATAAACACGACCTTGAGGCCCAAAGCCGGAAGCGAAAAGTGATTTTAGTGCTAGTAGTGACAAGGGCAGGATGCTACTAGTAGCTGGGGCATAACTACTAGTAGCAAGAAGCTCCTGAAGTGAAAGTATGTCCTGTCTTGCAGCTCATCCTGGTCTTCCTATTGCCTTGCCAAGTGTGCTGCTTCAGGCCCATCTTCCCGCAAATCAAACCCCCGGTGTGTGGGAAGTGTGGGCTTAGCTCTTGATTGGGATAGCTTTCACTCAAGTCTTTTGGCCCAGTCGCGGAGTTTGTGGTTCACCAGGCACTTGGCTCGGAGGTCCCGATAGGCCGCGGCCTTCTCAGCGGCTCCCCATTCCACGAGTGTGTAGTTGCCTAGCCGCACTGGCACTGGCTTGAAGAAAAAGCTCAAAAAAATAATAACAAAGACGCTACGAGCGTAGCTCCTGGCCGTACTACTAGGAACAAGAAGCTACTAGTAACAAAGGGCATCGCTACTAGTAACAAGGACGCTACTAGTAATCTCGGTCGGTGGCCCGGCCGACCATCCGTACGCCTCCGTACACCTCCAGCATCTGTCGCACGTCCTTGTCCTCAAAGTCCCGCGTTTCATTTTTGCTGCCCCGCCAGCTGAAGCCGAACCTTTTGCCAAAGAAAAGATTGACCAGACACCAGACATCGTTGCTGGATCGTAACTCAAACCACAGAAATCGGTGGACGCATACGGTTAATGATTCAGGACGCTGCTTTATTATCTTTATTTTTGCAATTGGTCTCAGACAACTGGCCTGGTGTACTCCAAGACCGCGAAGATGTGGTACATGGTGGATACACCAGCCAACTCCTGGCTCGGCCCTCGGCAATGGCATCTGAGCAACCCCTCACAACCAGATCTTTCCTCTGCCTGCGACTTCTCACGAGCATTAGCGGATGTTGAAACAGAAAAAGGACATCCTTAATGTTCAAGCACCCCCTGCTTCGGTCCTTGAAGACATTCCTGCGGATGTTCTGCGCCACATATTGTTTGGTCCCATCACGCACCTAATTGCACAGGATGAAGTGTATCGGATCTCAATTTCTCCCGCTACAAGCCGTTCAGTCCTACCTTCCGCTCGCCAGGTTGGTCTACGTCGTCTACGTTTAGATGATCCCCTAACTCAGGTCCTGCCTGGCCGGTGAGCAGCACTGCCACACCGCTCCACTGGCGCCCGGCTGCCCAATCCGCCTGACGTGCCTCGAAGCTCCTGTCGCGGCTCCCGATCGACCGGTACAAGATCAAGCGCTCTACTTTCGTCCAACAAAAACAAACGCAGTGAATCTGGCCTTCTGATCGTGGGTGACAAATGCCGCCACCACTGTTCAAGGTGTTAAGTCAAGCGCTGGTGGCGAAGATACTCCTGCCTGCAAGCAAGGAGCAAGAGCGTGGAGTATCTTCGCTTTGCGGTGCTTTTTCCTGATGTCTCAAGTCTCGGCCGAAATCGACGGGGGCCGATTTCGTGTGACCAGGGCAAGGATGCCTAGCGGCAAAAGTGCGAATTCCTTCATGACCCTAGTGGCCCAGCGCTTCCCACCTCATCTGTCCAGTGACTGACAATCGCTCAACTGCCTCCTTGCAACAGGCCTCACGGTCACACGTCATCTGCTCAATCGCAGGAACCTTGCCCATTCAATCTTTAATCAGAGCTATTAAAACACCTCGAAACATTTCGAAACAATCTTTGTTGCTAGGGGCGCACTTGTCAGCTCAAAGTAAACCTGCTCCTGGAAAATGAAAAACGCCAATGACAGACCCAATGCCTGTGTGGTCGGGCTCTTTCGGCTGGTGGCCGTGGAGCAATTCCCTGGAACTTCCTTGATGTCCATGTCCATCTCCTGGGCAAATGACCATGCCCATAGTGAAGGCCCATGGGACCGATGACAAAGCAAGCTGTTCAGTTGGTCCAGACAATCTGCACTGCCTGATTTCTGATAAGAACTTCGGGTGGCAAGTCCTGCAGCTCTTCAACCCTTGTCATCCTTTTCAACGAACCGCCACTTCCAGGAGCCACCAGTTTTGGAGCAGCTGCACCTGCTGCCTGCAGGAGAAACACCCTGCCAAAACCACAGGGGCACATGGTGGCTCTTAAACAAACTAGTTCCACTGTTCCACTATCGCAAGATACTCAGAGGTCGCCACCACTCTGACTCACTCTTACGCATTGCGGCGCAGGGGGCACATCCCGAGCCTCATTTGCTGTTGCTCCAGTGGTGGAATAGAAAGGCTCACCACTGAGAGGAGATCCGGTTGCATCTGCATCCTGACGAGGCAGCTGCGCCCTCATCCGAACACTTTGTTCAATCCACTGCCGCTGCTCCCTTGAAGTGTCAACTGTACTTCGGAATGCTGGAGGGTCTGAGAAAAGGACACAGAAACAAAATGGAACCCATGAACCCGAATGCACACACGTACACAAACGGCCAAACACTCTTCAAAGACACTCTTGAAGGACATTCTGCGGTGCCACTCTTGTAGAACACTATTCTTGTGGGACACTCTTGCTGTTGCTGGACACTCTTGTTGTGGATCAAAGCGGGCACTTCGTAGGAGACTAGTCGGGGGTCAAGTCTCCAAAACCAAGCGTTTTGCGGGATCTCTCCTCCAAAACTAACCCGTCACCGTCAATGCCCGTCATGTCTCCAAAACGAAGTGACGCGTCAAGCGCTGAAACAAGCACTTTGTGCGAGATGCCCTCCACAAAATGAAGTGTCAAGCCTTCAAGCCGAGCACTAAAAGCGACACGTCGCCCCTCCAGAAATCACAAAGTGACCTAGCACTTGTCACGAAACCTCAGCTTGAAGCCGGGCCAAGCGTTTCAAGAGAAAAAAAAAGAGGACAAATGAGGAGAGAGGATCCTGAAGGCACAGCGACCACCAACACCTCCTAAAGACCACCTTGCAAACGCCAATGACGAATTGCGCCGCGACGAATGGCGCTGACCTCACAAAACGCCGCAGCTGCATGGAGGGACAGCATGTCACGTTTCTACGCAATATCACAACCCCAGACCCCCAATTAGACCAGAACACTTCGCCACGAATTCTGAACAAAACACATGTATGGGCATTTGCCCCAAAACCTGTTGCAGGAATTACAAACGTCCTGCAGCAGCGTCTGTCTCCAAGCCTCTTTTCTTGTTCGATACTACTTGGGCGATACTAACAAAACTTTTGACTGCCAGCCTCTCTCCATGCTGGGCCCGTCGAGGAATCACTTGGAGGACCCCCTGCCGGTAGTGCAATGGCTACATCCGTTGCCTGCACAGATGCAGACATTCTGCCCAGACACACAAGCACCTGAATCTTCTTCAAC